TGATTAAGGTCAGGTCAGATTAGTTTCCTGATGCGATAAAGCTCATCATTATTCTTATTGACCTCGTGTAATGATGATAGTGACTTAATGGTGACGAGGCTGGTATATGACTAATGGTGTATGGTGATGTGAGTCGTGATGGTGAAGAGATTATGCCATATGGTGCTGTGGTGACTAGCAATTATTGATGGTGATAGGGTAGTAGTGGTGTCCTGGTGACGTGCGATTGTGACAAGATAGTGTCATGGTGACTTGTTTATAATCACAGTGACAGATTGGTGACGATGATGATAGTGTGATAAGCTCCAAGTCATATTAATGGTGATATTTTGTGGTGATAAGTTAAAGAGTCACTTGTGGTGATATTCCGTGGTGACAGCGAGGTGTGTTATGATGACGCTTGGGTTAATAGTGACATAACTACTAGTGTTACGGTGACACGCCTCTGTGACACTCATAACGATAACACGTGTGGTGATGAACGATAAGCAGTAGTCGGCTGTCGTGTTAACTTGGTTGTCAGCTGTACGATAACACCTCCCACGGCAGCTGACACTGAGCGATTGATGGTGTGTTGGGGGGGGGTGACTGTGTGGGGGTTGGAAGGTGACTGTTTGGGGACGTAGGGGGTGACGGTGGTGTATGGGGGAGGGGGTAGGGGTATAATAAGCGGTTGTGGGTGGTTAGCTTTTTGTCTGTCTGTGTATGTGGTGAAAGGTGTATATGTGATTGGTTAGGTCTCTCTCTCTCTCTCTCTCTCTCTCTCTCTCTCTCTCTCGTGAAATTCCTTTATATAATTAGTTCACATTACCTGTATAGTCGCTAATTACTACCTGTCTCTCATTAAGCCATTCATACCTGGGGATTTTGTCAGTCTTCATTAGTGTACTTTATAATACTCTTAACGTGTGTGTGTGTGTGTGTGTGATTCGTGGGGTGGGTAATATGGGCGATTCGTGTGGATTGGAAAAAGTGATTCGTGTTGGTGAAAACTTTAGGGGTTCGTGTGATGGGATTTGTGGATTTGATACACGTGGCTTATGTTGGCACGTGATTATGTAACCCAGGTGGTGGTAGGATCAGGTGGATGGTGGTAGTGGTGGTGGTAGGATCAGGTGGATGGTGGTATGGTGGTAGTGGTGGTGGTAGGATCAGGTGGATGTGGTGGTAGTGGTGAGTGGTGGGATCAGGTGGATGGTGGTAGGATCAGGTGGATGGTGGTAGTGGTGGTGGTAGGATCAGGTGGATGGTGTGGTAGTGGTGGTTTGGTAGGATCAGGTGGATGGTAGGATCAGGTGGATGGTGGTAGTGGTGGTGTTGGGATCAGAATTGGATGGTGGTAGTGGTACTTGGGATCAGGTGGATGGTTGTGGGATCAAGGTGGATGGTGGTAGGATCGGGTGGATGGTGGTGCAGGATCAGGTGGATGGTGTGGTAGTGGTGGTGGTAGGATCAGGTGGATGGTGGTAGTGGTAGGATCAGGTGGATGGTTGTAGGATCAGGTGGATGGTGGTGAGGATCAGGCCCGGATGGTGATAGGATCAGGTGGGATGGGTGGTAGGATCAGGTGGATGGTGAGTGGTAGGATCAGGTGGATGGTGGTAGGATCAGGCCCGGATGGTGGTGTGATGATAGGATCAGGTGGGTAGTAGTATTAGTGATGGACTGATGGTAGTAGTAGTGGTAAGGATCAGGTGGGTAGTGGTAGTGGTGGTAGGATCAGCTGGTTGGCGGCGGTAGCGTCTCTGGCCTCCACGTGCGTTGCTATGGTTACGTCCCTCCCGTCAGCTGATCTCACACCTACCACAATCCTCTCTCTCTCTCTCTCCCCCCCTCTCTCTCTCTCTCTCTCTCTCTCTCTCTCTTGACCCCCCCCCCCCAATGTATGTGTGTAGGTGTTGGTGTAAAAGTGTGTGTGTGCGTGCGTGTGTGTGTGCGTGCGTATGTGTGTGTGTTATTGTTGGTCTTTGAAGCAATTAGTGGATTAATTAATTTTTGCAGTTCATTTTGTATTTCTTTTAATCATTTAGTTAATCGTTTGTTTTGATATTACTAATTTACATAATTAGACAGGTAATTAAGTAGATTTTGTGGTTAAGTATATGAGAAGTTAATTAGAAGAAGGGTTACCGGTGAGTTAATTGGCTCCTTAACTAATTAATTATTGGTTTTTCTGTTACGTTGTCAGTTTGAGTTAGGTTAGGTTAGTTGTAGGATAGGTTAGGGTAGGGTAGGTTAGTTGTAGGGTAGGTTAGGTTAGGTTAGTTGTAGGATAGGGTAGGTTAGGTTAGTTGTAGGATAGGGTAGGTTAGGTTAGTTGTAGGATAGGTTAGGGTAGGGTAGTAACAGGATAGGTTGGGATAGCTTTAGTTCAAGTATTAAGTTATTTGTGGATAGGATTGGATAAGATAGGATAATTTTGTCTTGTTTGCTGTGGATTCTAGTTAGGATAGGTAGTATTAGGTTAGGTTAGCTGCAGACTAGGTTTTAAAGGTAGGATGCGCTGGATAGTTTAAGGAAGAATAGGGTGAGGTGTACCAGGTAGGGTGGGGTGTACCAGGTAGGGTGTGGTGACCTTACATAGAGTATCACATGACACTAGGGTTCCCAGGTAGCTGAGTGAGTGAGTGAACTTGAGGCCCGGCATATTCCTCTGACGCCTTACTTTAATGATACTATTACTTCTACTACTAAATAATAATAATAATGGTGATGATAATTTGATACGATAATAGTAAGTAATAATGATAATAAACAAAAACAACAGTGTTCTTTAGCTATAAATCCAACCACACAATTCACCTAAAAGTAGAACGCCAGATTTAGCAAAGTGTCCAGACAATTTTGGCCACAGGTGTACATCGGTGGAATACCTGATAAGCATTGCAACTTGTCTGATTTATTTTTGTACCTGAGGAGGCGTGAGAGAGAGGGGAGGGGGAGGGCTAGGCATAGGTCAAGAGCTGTGGTGATGGTGGTAGTTGTGATCGTGGTGGTGGGTATTTTAGGTGTTAGTAGTTGTAGTGGATGTGTGATGGTGGGAGGGGGGTGGCGTTGGTGGATAGGTGGAGGTAGTAGTGTGGGTGGTAGGAGGGGGTAGTAGTGGTGGTAGTGGGGTGAGTAATGAGGTCGTTAGTGTAATGGTAGTTAAGATAAGGTGCAACACGTCACTACTCTGTTACCTGCCTCCCACTTAGCCCTCCATCCTGTGTGTTACCTGTCCACACTAACTGTTTTCACCTGTCTAAAGTAACTGTTTAACCTGTCAAACTAAGTGCCTTACCTATGTTACCCGTGCACGCTAACTTTTTTTACCTGTCTAGAGTAACTGTTTAACCTGCCAAACTAACTGTTCTACCTGTCAAAAGTAACTGTTACTTGGACAGACTGTATTACCTGACCAAACTGTTACTTGTTTATTTTATTTTTTTACTTCATATTTTTTTCATCGTTACCTGAATCAGCTCTCCACATTCCCTCTTATTTCACCTGTCTACCCTACCTGTCTAAGCCACCTGTCTAGCTTTCCGTCCACTAAATATAAGTCCTGTCACCGCGTGTGGGCTCCCTACCACCATCTGTGACGCCGTAATGAGGTAGTTAAGTCGTTAGCAGTTTGTCGATCTTAATGAGTGAGAGTAACGCGACCATGTCAAGAGTGTTTATCTCGGATCAGCTGATGACGACGCCAGCTGACAACATGTCAACAAACCGCCACGTGCTTTTAATATGTAAACAAACTGCCACGTGCTCGTAGAGGTGGGCTGGAATTTGACATGGTAGACAAGAGTGTGTGTGTGTGTTAAGGTTTTTACCTCATTTGCATAGTGTTAAGGAGTTTATTATGTCATAAATTCAAACAAAATTATCCTCACGACATCTTCAACCTAACCTACCCAGTTAAATATTTGCCAAAGAAGTATCTAATGTTGTTGTTGAAGACTTGTGAGGATGAAACCTATATATTTTATTTGTTTGTTTTTGTTGTGTAAATAAATTAAGACCGTTGTTGCTAAATTAACTTGTCAAATTTGTTAAATGATAAGAGAGTCAAGTGTGTGTGTGTGAGTTAGTAAAGCGTTCTTGTCGCGTGTCATGTTTTTGTTGTAGTTAGATAGTTAATGTGTTGTTAGTGACAGTCGTGGTGTAGTGGATGGTGTTGTACAGGTGTGTTTGTCTGTCTGGGTAATGAGGTACCTGTGTTTGTGTGGGGGGAGGGGGTGGTGAAGAAGAGGGAGGCAGGGAGAGAAGAAAAGGTGTTTGTGGTGTTAGCTAGTAGGATGATTCACACATACACACGTACATATACACACGTACATATACACACGTACATATACACACATACTCTCTCATCAAACATATTGTAACGCTATATATGAACTTAGTAATATAATATAGGTCTCTTATAATATATATTTCACTAACAATATATTTGTTATATACACGTTAATATAGCATCTTAATATAAACTTTTCTTTCTATAGAATATAAGGGAGTATCGTTATATGTTTATCAATATATGTGAAATTATATGTAATGAATATATACCATACATATTATATATTTCTGTTTACTTATAAGATTCTAAATATGTTCATATATTGTGTGGAGAGTTAATTAGTGTTTTGTAAGGTGTTTCGATATATTGAGAGGAATACCTGTACCATACCTGTAATGTTGACCTGTACTTGTATTGTTGTTTATGTATTAATTTTGTATTTGTAAATGATAAAACTTTGTATATATGTTTATTATTGTTGTATTAGTGAGGAGGGATTAATTGTTTGTTTCAAGATAGACAGACGGACAGACAAAGTTAACACAGGAAGACGTATGTTCACACAGACAGACCTTGATGTTATTTGTGAGACAGACAGACAATTCCTGACATGTTGTTTGTGATACGGGAACTACTCTTACTTTTTACAGACATAAACACACCTGACTTGTGGTTTTTTTTTTTTTACAGAGATTAATTATGTTTTTTTGTTTGTTTACAGATAAGATGGGAGAAAAATATAACTTTAGGAGAGCCGCCGGGGTTCCTGCACTCCTGGTGGTGGTGAGTATACTGTGTGTGTGTGTGTGTATACTACAATTATTATTAGTAGTAAAAATATGAGTAGTAATAAGGTGTACTATTGTTTGTAACGGTAGTACTAGTTGTAGTGGTGGTCGATAGTAGTTTTAATAGTAGTATAGTACCGGTAATAATAGTAGCAATTGTAGTGGTAGTAGTAGTTGTAGTAGCAATAGTAATGATAGTAGTTCAGTTGTAGTGGTAATAGTAGTAGTAATAGCAGTAGTAGTGTATCACAGTTCTTAACACACAGGCGTCACACACTCAACACGTAACATACCGCGTCACAATAGCGGCGTCACACTCGGAATGGATACCGTCACAGTAAGGCTTAGAACGTCACACGCTCACCACATTACACACACACACACACACGACATCATTAAGCATCTCACCCGCCACAAACCAATAAAAACAGCAACACACAATGGCAACATACACACACACACACACACACACACACACACACACATACACACACATACACACACACACACACACACACACACACACATACACACACATACACACACACACACACACACACACACACACACACACACACACACACACACACCAGCGACATCACATTAAGCGTCTCACCGCCACACAGAGCCACAATAAAAGAAACAGCGTCACTGATGGCAACACACACACACACACACACATACATACATACATACATACATACACATACACAAACACACACACACACACACACACACACACACACACACACACACACACACAGTAAGCGAGGCGTGTAGCCAGAGCGCGGGGCTGGAACACTTATTGATCCGTGTTAATAATGCATGGGAATTTTATCCGTGTGACCCTGTACTGTACATACTGAACTGACTCGTGACTCACTCTGCCGGGCTACACTGACTCATGCTGGGCCACGCTGACTCATACTGGGCCACGTTGACTCGTGACTCACTCTGCCGAGCCACGCTGACTCTTTACCGGGCTTTACTGACTCACTATTGAACCACCACTAACGAAGGACTCGCTCTGCTGGGCCACACTGACTCGCGACTGACTCTACCGGGCCGCACTGACTCGTGACTGACTCTGCCTAGCCATACTTACTCGCGATTCACTTTACCTTTTTTAAACAATCGCGAAATTTATAATCGCCAAAACACCGTCACTTGTACGTACTTGTTATTAGCGATATAGATTCCTTACGGTCGCCAAATATATCCTCGCTAAATGGTCACAGTTGTATTTATCGTGAAATATACTCATCACAAGCGTTTAAAGTGCGTTAAACTTTTCATTGTGGTGTGGAGTGTGTTTTAGGGATGATGGATGTGTGTGTGTCTTGAGGTGAGTGTGGTTTTGTATTTGTGATGGAGGAGGAAACGGTTGTGGTGGTGGTGGTGAAGGAGGAGGAGTGGAGGAAGAGATGGAGGAGGAGGAGGAGGAGTGGAGGAAGAGATGGGGGGGAGTGGAGGGAGGGAGATGGAGAAGAGATGGGGGTGGAGGAGGAGAGTGGAGGAAGAGATGGGGTGGAGGAAAGAAGATGGAGGTGGAGGAGGGGAGGGAGTGGAGGGGGAAAGAGATGGGTGGTAGGGGGGTGGAGGAGGAAGAGATGGAGGAGGAGTGGAGGAAGAGATGGGGGTGGAGGAGGAAGGGGAGGTTTGAGATCCTTCTTCTCGTTTTTATTATTATATCATCATCATCATCATCATCATCATCATCACTATTACTCTGATACCATTAATTTTAAGAAACAGTCAGGGTTATATCGCGTGTTCGACCTCAGCCTACCTCGTGACCTCAGCCTACCTCGTGACCTCAGCCTACCCGGGACTAATGAACGCCGGTCTCCGCTCTAAGACAAATTTGTCGATTTTTAGCCAAACGTCTGAATGTCTGTTTACCTCCCACACAGACACACACACACAGACACACACAGACACACACACACACACAGACACTAGAGGGGGGGGGGTGAGGTACGTGATGTTGAGAGAGAGACAGACAGACAGACAGATAGAAGCAGACAGATAGACAGAAAGCGAGAAAAAATGGATGCTGTGTCAGAAATAATATAAATAATAATGTAAATAATAATAATAATCGTGATAATGATACGTGTGTGTTTATATGTAAGTATGTGTGTGTGTGTCTTCTGTTATGTGCGTGTGTGTAAGTGTCTGCCTTTCTGTGTGTGTGTGTGTGTGTGTGTGTGTGAGGGAGGAGCCAACATGATCGTTAAGCTGGCAGGATAAACAACTCCTTGACCCGCGTGAAATTTCAACCGAGTCATATTGATCTGTTCCCGGGTATTGCTGCCAACCTCTCCCTACCTCACCCCTCTCCTCAGCCCTCACCCCTCACCCCTCACTCCTTCCCTCACTCCTCACCCAGTCACCACCTATCATCATTCTTTATCATCATCATCATCATCATTGTTGTTACGGTCGTCTCCTTCAACCATCATTCTTTATTATTATTATTATTATTAGTATTATTAGTGTTGTTTTAGTCCTGTAGGGCGTGAGGAGGTGTGGTGTGGGGGGGTAGGAACTGAGGGTGTGGAGGGTAGGAACTGAGGGTGTGGAGGTGGAACTGGGGTGTGGAGGGTGAACCGAGGGTATGGAGGTAGGAACTGAGGGGGTGAGGGTAGGAACAGAGGTGTGAAATTGAGGTAGGAACAGGGTGTGGTGGGAGTGGAACTAGGTGTAATGGGAGGAGTAGGAACTGAGGGGTATGGAGGGTAGGAACTGAGGGTGAGGGAGGTGGAAACAGAGGGTGTGGGGGTAGGAACTGAGGGTGTAAGTCAGAACAGAGGGTGTGGGGGTGGGAACTGAGGGTGTGGAGGGTAGGGAACACAGGGGTGTGGGAACAGGGGTGAGGGTGGGGCCAAGACTGAGGGGTGTGGAGGGTGGGGGCAGGGGTGTGGGTGGGGCTGGGGGGTGAGGGAGGGTGAACTGAGGGTGAGGGAGGGTTGTAACAGGGATGGGAGGGTGGGGCAGGGTGGAGGGTAGGAACTGAGGGGTGAGGGAGGTGGTGACAAGGTGTAGTGTGCTGCATACATTACGGGAAGCAGTAACGGTGACAGGCGGAAGTAACTGCAGGTGATGTGTTGGTGGGGGGGGGTGGTGCTGGAGGGTGTGTTTGGTGGTGCTAGAGGGTGTGGGGTGGTGCTGGAGGGTGTGTTTGGTGGTGCTAGAGGGTGTGTGTATGGGGTGGTGCTCGGGGAGTGTGGTAGTGTGGTAGAGGTCGCATGGTATGGTGGTAGTGGTGGTACTGTGGTTGTAGTCATGGTTGTGTGGCTGTAGGACGGTATACAATCTTTATGGTTGTAATGAAGAGAAGATTGTGGTTGTTCTGTGGTGGTTGTATTAGACGAAGCAGTACTGGTAGTGATGGTACCTGTGTGTGTGGTTGTCAACAGGTATTGGTAGCAACAGGAGCCAGGCCTCGTCAACAGGTAACATTTTATTCAACCTTACCTGAACGAGAGGAGGTTTTTTTTTTGTTATATTTCATTTATCTTTATTTATTTTTCATTATTTTTTTCATTTATTTACATGTACCTGTCGTTCTCGTAACTACTGATAGGGGAAGAATCGATGAATCCGGATTGGTTGTGTTGTCTCCCGGGTGGCGTTCGTCACACGTAATGTTGTTTACCTCTGACGTCATCGCCTGACCTCACGTAAACACATCTGGATTTATTGTCGTTGCTTGTGATATGAATCCGTTCCTTCACAGACCCGTTCGTGTAGAGGTGGATGAGACTCGACACCATCTGAATTGACATAGAAGATATTTATTATTGGTTTTCCGGGATATTTTGTTGAATATCGATAAAAATGCCTCTTCCCTTCTCTCTTCCTTTTCCTCTCCTCCTCCTCCCCTTCTCCTCCATTTCCTCTCCTCCCCCCCTTTCCTTGTCTCCTCCTCCCTCGTCTCCTCTCTCCTCCACCTCATCTCCCTTCCTCCACCTCCCTCTCCCCCCCCCCAGAGCGTTCACGTAGAGGCGGCGTCAGAGGCATAACGGCGGAGCAGAAATGATTGGCACACAAACTATGTTACGGAGAGAGTTTTTAATTTTTATTCGGCACAGAATTGAATGGCACGATATTGTATTCATAAAAATGGGAAAGTTCAGCCGGTAATGAAAAACGCATCGGGTCCAATCATGGCGGGGATCGGCGGGATTACGGCGCTCTCTCTATCCTTGTCTATTTTAGTTCGCCATTACCTCGTAATTCTCATATACATTAAAATGTATTAAAGAATTACGCTGGTGTACGGATCAGCTCCTATCTGTCTCTACCCCGGGGGCTGACGGGCGGCCCTTCCTGCCTGTCTACCTACCTACCTACATGCCCCCCCTCCCCTCCTCTTCCGCCACTTAACATGGGTGTTGTTTGGGAGGTGTGACGCTAAGAGTGACGTCATAAGAAGTCAGGTTAGGTCGAAAGAGGTCAGGAGAGGTCAAGGTGAGAGGGACGGTGAGGTAATAAAGAGCTGTCATCAGGATCTTTTAAGGAGACAAATTAGGTTTGCTGAGGTGAGGAGTGAGAGGCCGACCTCCCGGTGAATGTCAGAGGTAATGTGTCTGCCTCTTGACCTCCATACATACATACAGTACATACATAAATACATTCCTACATATGCTGTACATACACACACACACATTATACATACATACATGCACAAATACAATTCATACACATGCTATACATACATACATACATACATACATACATACATACATACATACATACATACATACATACATACATACACACACACACACAAATTATACACACACCTAAAAAAATCCGCGCTAACATACACACATACTAATGCATACATACATACATTCATACATACACACACGACAAACTCTCCCCAGGTGAGCCCAGCCGGAACACACCTGTGGGTTATCATACAGCGTGGCACCTGTGTTACCTGTTGCCAGATTACCGACCAATCTATTTTGCTGTTGGGTAAAGGTTAAACTGTAGGTATTAATAACAAATGTTGTAAAATTGAGTCGCTGCCTCTATTAATCTTACAGCTTATGAAGGTGGGGTTATTGTGGGGGAGGGTAGGGGAGTGTTATGATAGAGGGAGGGAGGGGGTTTGATGGTGGAATGGATGGGGGTTTTGGTAGTTGGGGGAGAGAGGGGGTTGTCATGTGATGGTTGGTGAGGAGAGAGGTAGGGTGGGGGTGATGGTTGGGGGAGGTAAGGAAGGGAGGGGGTGTTTAATTACCATCTCCTCCACCCCCATCCCTTCACCCCGTCACCCCTCTCTCGCCGTCTTCACAATTCAGTTCCTATAAGAATGACATAGAAATTTCAAGCGTTTTTCCTCTGGCCAACTGGGAGCTTCATCCAACTGAGAATATCCCCTGTGATATATATATACACTTCCTGGAGCTTAATACCACTGAAAGATGTCACAATATCGAGAGCCGGATACCATGGAATATAACATTGCTAAGAGCTTCGTTAACATATGTACTAGTTAAATATGTAGCTGTTGTATTTCTTCACATACTCGTAAATACATATTATACGAGTCGTTACGTCACATATCGTCACTATTACGTCGCAAATACGATGTGATGTAAAGGTCGGGTTAGTTTTTACGTCTAGGCTCGTCATCTATCTATCTATCTAGCCATACGTCCATCTATCCATCCATCTGTTTATCTATCTATCCATCTCTCTACAGTATCTATCTATTTAATCTGACAAAGAAACGAAAATATAATAAGGAAACAAAGATAATTTGGAAACAGGTGAAAGTCGCTAATCATGTCTGACAGGTAAATGACAACATGAGTCAGCGGCCCATCACAACGTTCCTGAGTGGATGAGTGTCTGGATGAGTGCCTGGGTGAGTGGGTGAGTGGGTGAATCCTTTGGTGGGTTGATGGATGCTGGAATGGGTGGGTGGAGGGGTGCATGGATGAATGGATAGGTAAGTGGATGGGTGTAGGTTAAGTTGTCAAAGTGAGTGTTTGAATGGGGGTAAATTGTCTGGGAGAGGAGGGAGGGGAGGGAGACTGTCTGGTAGGGATGGGAGGAGAGGAAGACTGTCTGGTAGGGATGGGAGGAGAGGAAGACTGCTCGGGAGGGGAGTGGGAGGGGAGGAAGACTGTCTGCTCGGGAGGGGAGGAGGAGGGACTGTCTGGTAGGGAGGAAGACTGTCTGGTGTAGGGGAGGGAGACTGTCTGGTAGGGGAGGTGGACTGTCTGTAGGGATGGGAGGAGGAAGACTGCTCTGGAGGGGAGGAAGACTGTCTGGTAGGGGAGGGAGACGTCTGCAGGAGGGAGAGGTCTGTGGGGAGGGAGGAGAGGAAGACTGCTCGGGGGAGGAAGACTGTCTGGTAGGGATGGAGGAGGCTGAAGACTGTCTGGTAGGGATGAGAGGGGAGGAAGGCGTGGTGGCGTGGCCAACCAACACACACACCTGCAACCTGTCAGGGTGAACCACCTGGGAGGGAGAGGAGGGGATGGGGGGAGGGAAGAGAAGGGGAAGGAGAGGAGGAAGGGGTGTTGGGGGAAGGAGGAGAGGAGGGGGAAGGAGACGAGAAATGGGGAGAGGGGAGATTAACAGCACTCGGGGAGTTACGCGAGTCACACAAGGTATTATAAAACAAATGGTAGTCACCTGGGAATTAACGAACACTACAGGTAACTTACACAGGTGTGTGCGTGTGTGTGTGTGTGTGTGTGGGGAAAGAGAGAGGTAAGGTAAGGTTCCGCCTGCCTGATGACGAAGATGATCCACCCACTCACCACCCACCCCTTCCCCCGTCCACCCTTTCCCACCCCTCCCATGACTACCACACCTACGTCCACATCTCTCTCTCTCACACCAACGGAGAGAGAGAGAGAGAGAGAGAGAGAGAGAGAGAGAGAGAGAGAGAGAGAGAGAGAGAGATGTGGTGGATGTTTGAGGGTGTGTGTTAGTCACGACTAATGTGATTGTGCTCATTATGGGGGAAGGGGGGACCAACCTCCCCCTTTCTTCCCTTTCCTCACACTGCCCACCCACCCACAGGGCGCCCACCCACCCACAGGCGCCCACCACCCACCCGCAGGCCGCCCACCACCCATAAGGGATCTCTGAACTCTGGCTGTCTGCCCTACCTTGTTCACTCCAGTATTGTGAGATGAGAAGGTGCACAGCTCTTGCCCTTCTGGGAGACGCTGACACCCGGAACCTAACCTAATCCTTAATCTAATCTAAGCTAACTTTATAACCTAACCCTTAATCTAATCTAAGCTAACTTTATAACCTAACCCTTAATCTAATCTAAGCTAACTTTATAACCTAACCTAACCCTTAGTCTAATCTAAGCTATAGTACCCCAATTTAACCTAGCTCACCCAAACTTAAGCTAACCTAACACACACACACACACACACACACACACACACACACACACACTACAGTTAGACAGGTACAGGCCGCCCCCCACCCACCATTTGAGCGTCATTATCGAGAACATTCACCTGCTTAAAACCGTCAGTGTGGGCAGAGAGGGCGGGCGAAGGGCTTTTACGTCTGGCGTTGGTGGAAGGATTCGCCTGGCGTTGGTAGGAGTGGATTGAATATATTATCATCCTCTTAGGGCTAATTACTCATACTTTAGTCATTAGAATTACTCAGGTAGATGAGAAATATTTACCTGTCGTTCTCACTCATGCACGACCTAATTATCTTATCTCTCTCTTCTCTCCTTCCTCCTACCTCCTCTTCTCTCTCTCTCTCTGTTTATCCACCTGTCTGTCTAACTCTCCGTCCCCCGTCTGTCTGTCTTAACTCTGCCCGTCTACCGCCTGGGCTGGCAAATAATAAAGATGTGATGAGTCATTGTCGGAGTGGGTGTCTTGGCCCCTCTCTACGTGACAGGTCTTGGGGTCATGAGGGTGAGAGGGAGGTGGGAAGGGAGGGAAGGGGAGAGGGAGGTCAGAGTGAGAGGGAGGCTGAGTGAGTGAGAAGGCTGAGTGAGTGGGAAGGTTGAGTGGGTGGAAAGGATGAGTGAGTGGGAAGGTTGAGTGAGTGGGAAAGATGAGTGAGTGGGAAGGTTGAGTGAGTGGGAAGGTTGAGTGAGTGGAAAGGTTGAGTGAGTGGGTAGGATGAGTGAGTGGGAAGGATGAGTGAGTGGGAAGGTCGAGTGAGTGGGAAGGCTGAGTGAGTGGGAAGGTTGAGTGAGTGGGAAGGATGAGTGAGTGGGAGAGAGAGATCACTGTGTATGCTCGTGTTGAAGTCACCAGCCTTCCTACCACCACTACCACCAACCACGATGGACCACTACCACCACCACCACCCACTACCACCATCCACCACCACCACCCACTACCACCATCTCCCACTACCACCACCACCACCAACTACCACCATCCACCACCACTAACCACAACCATCATCCATCACCACTTGTAGTAGCTCGACCTAGGAGGAGGTGGGGGGGGGTTAGTGGTCGTGTCGCGCAGTGTCGTTTACATCGTGTTAATGGCAGTGTCGTCACCTGCTGTATGACAAGGTAGTGGTGGTGACTTGCATTATGGTCACCTATGTGGTTGAGAGTACGTCGATCTCACAACGTAGTTACAACATGCACTCAGAACGTGTATACAATCTCTCTCTCTCTCTCTCTCTCTCTCTCTCTCTCTCTCATTTACTATAAGAATATAGCCATTATTTATATTAGGATAAGAAAGGTCACATTAATAATACATACATACATACATACATACATACATACATACATACATACATACATACATACATGCGTTTAGGTGTGTGGTTTTAGGTATGAATGAAGCGTTTTAAAAGTTTGTTTGTCTTGGTTTAACTGTTTTATTACAATATCTAAAAATGTGCTTCAATGTTTTTTTGAAGACATGTTTATATTCTAAAATGTATTTGTTTGTTTCAGTGTTTCAGTAATAAGAAAAGTTTCAAATGCTGTAGAAATGACTTGGTTTTCATTGTTTTTATTTTATAGGACATGTTAATTAATGTTCTTGTTTTAAGGCGTGTGTTTGTTTGTTTCCATGACGCTAAGGTTTGGTTTATTTGTTTCAGTGTGTTCTGGGACCTGTATTGTGCGGCACCGGAGAGGCGGGACACGTGTGAACACTCGAGTGAAGCCAAAGCCTTCCACGACTATGTAAGTATTGTGTTGTAGTTGTTGTTATTATTATTATTATTATTGTTGTTTTTGTTGTAGTTATTGTTATTATTTTTGTTTTATTGTTATTGTTTTTTGTTATTGTTATTGTTTTGTTAATTTTTATTGTAGTTTTGTTATTGTTGGCGTTATTGCTGTTGATGTTGTTGATGTGTATCTACTGCAGTGTAAGGTGTAAGCGCCTCCTGATTACTACCATAGTACTACCTTGATTACTGTCGAGTACTTCCTGCTGATAAACTTGATCTCGGGTACAAGGTTGAGTACGATGACTTTACCCATGGAGTACAGTCTCATCGTACTCAAGGGGTTAAGTCATATTACTCAAGGTTGTAAGATTAGGAGTTAGTCAGGTTAAGTTAGGTAAGAGGTGGGTTAGGTTAGGTTAGGTACAGGGAAGGTTAAGTTATAATGCCTTAACCTCTTAGAGTCAGTGATACATTGTGTCTCACCTGATGATAATATTACCCGCTCTCCTACCCTCCTCTCTCACCCCTCAACCCCCCTACTTCCTCCCCCCCCCACCACCACCACCTCACTACCCCTCTCTCCCCTACTTGGGTCCTTTCTCCCTCACCTCTCCCCTCCACTCCCTTCCTACCTGCCCATCTTAGCCAACTCCACCTTCAGGTAAGTTAATTAAATGAACCAGGTTAGAGTATCCCTCTCCTCCCTTCCCTCTCTCCCTCACCCTCTCCTCCCCTTCCCTCTCTCCCCTCCCTCTCTCCCCCTCACCTTCCCTCTCCTCCTTCCCTCTCTCCCCTCCCCTTCCCTCTCTCCCTCACCTTCTCTCCACTCTTTCTCTCTCCCTTTCTTCCTCCCTCTCTTAATGGAGCCAGGTAAGTATTCCCTCCTCCTCTCTTCCCTCCCTCCTCCTCCCCCCTCCTCCCCTCTCCCCATATGCATAGAGGTGGCAGGGGGGAGTGAGAGAGACACGTGTGATCGCGGCCTTGAGATGAACAGGTGTTAAGTGGCGTCCCGACATCAACTTGCCCAGGTGGTCCTGTGTTTACACGATCAGCTGTGGCCCTGCTGGTGTTGCCCTCTCGATGGGTTGGTAATTTATCGCTTACCTCCTTTACCTTACCTCCCCTCTCCCCTCCTTCCCTCCCCTCGCCCCCTTGTGTGTGTTGTGGTGATTGGTTGTGATTGGGGCCCTGGTTGGTGGTGGTGTTAGTGTTCGCGTGGTTGTTAGGTGTTTGTTGTATCACGTGGTTGTTTACTAGTTTATTATTGTTCGTGATTGCCAGGAAAGTGCCACGAGTGTCAGTTAAGTTTCATGAGTGTCAGGAAAGTGTCATGACTGCTAAGAAAGTCTCAAGGAAGTACCAGGAAATAGCCAAGACAACATAAGATGAGTACCCAGGCATTACTCGTTCATGCTGGGAGTTACCAACACTTATTGAGGGGTAATGAGCCGAGGGAAGTGACCGGGAAATAAAATGGTTCCAGTGTTGGTATATTTTGCGGGAAATTACGTCAGTTTGGCCTTTTTTAGTTTGGTGGGGAAATTACGTCAGTTTGGCCTTTTTTTAGTTCGGTGGGAATTTACGTCAGTTTGGCCTTTTTTTTAGTTTGGTGGGAATTTACGTACATTTTGCGGGAAATTGCGTCATAGGACTGATGACTATTAACTTGGTTATTATTATTTTAGGGAAATGACGTCAATTCAACAACTCTTTTATTTTTAGTTTTTTATTTATATATTTATATATTTTTTAGTTTTTTGGGGAATAACATCATTAAGAGATATCAACTTTGTTATATTTTTGGGGACCGGATCTGCCGTCAGTTGCGCAATGTTAACTTGTTTTTTTGTGGGAAATTTATCACTTGTAACCAGATTTTTGGCGGGGAGGTATGTAAACAAGATGTGGAATGACGTGTTTTGTTTTGATTATCTTGGGTTGTGAGAGAGAGAGAGAGAGAGAGAGAGAGAGAGTCTAATAACCCGCCCACTTGCCTCCTCTCTCTCCTTCCCCCCTTCCCTCTCTCCTTCCCCCCTTCCCTCCCTCCTTCTCTCCCTCCTTTCCACCCACCCACCCACGATCCTGCAGGACACGGTGGACACTTGTGGGTACTATATTGGGACACGGGGTGGTAGGACATGGCACGGTGGATACGGCCTTGATAGACGTGTTAGGTGTGTCTGGTTCTTTAAATGTCATGAGAAATGTCAATCTTCGGCATTTACGACACACACACACACACACACACACACACACACACACACACACACACAATATATATATATATTTGAGATTTGTTAACTCCTTTCTACGTCTTGGGGTTGTTCATGTTTTTCACTGTTTTTTTTTTTGTTTGGGGTGTGTTTTGTTTGGTTAAGTGGTGTGTCTGTGTCCTGTGTGTGTGTGTGTGTGTGTGTGTGTGTGTGTGTGTGTGTGTGTTTGTATAATTTTTTTGTTTGTATAGGGAGTGTATTTATGTAGAAGGTGTGTTTGTTTTTAGGTATGTGGGGGTGTTTGTGTGTGTGTGATTTTTTGTTTGTATGTACAGTGAGGAGTGTGTGGGGTGTGTTTGTTTGAGGTGCTATGTGTGTGTGTGGGGGGGTGTTTGTGTGTGTATGATTTTTTGTATGAGAGTGTGTAGGATGAGCTGTGTTGTTTTAGAGTTGGTGTGTGGGGTGTTTGTATGTATGATGAGTGTGTGTATGTGGGGTGTGTTTGTTTGAGACAAGTGTGTGTGTGAGGGTGTTTTTGTGTGTGTGAAGAGTATGTATGTGTGTTGTGTGTTTGTTTGAGAGTTTGTGTGCGTGTAAGAGTGTGTTGTATGTGTGTGTGTATATATGTATGTATTCACGAGTATGTGTCTGTCCGTGTGTGAGAAAGAGAGAGATGGAGAGCTAGTAATTGTGTGTGTATGTGTTTTTGCATGTATGTATATCCGTATGTCTGTCTTCATGTATAACCGTGTATGTTTATATAATACGCACATAAATACACACACACAGACGAACAAAAAATCTACATAACTCTATGGTCGTATCAGTCCCCATTTCACTTTCTATAAATACAGTTAATCAGCCACTTAATGTGCCCTACAGTTAACCTACATCCAGTTAATACCAGTTAATGAGTGTATGATAATCCTGAGGGAAGTTCACAGTCAGTTTAGATGTTGAATTGTGACTGGATGGGTTTTGTCGAGTGTTGGGAACAGTTTGATGTACCAGTTACAGTTCTCAGTCACTTCAGTATTTAAACAGTCGTATTATTGTCCAGTTAAACAGTTACAAAGGCAGTTATCATTCATTTTGACAGTCACTTTTAGCTGCCAGTCATTTAAGCACTCAGATCGTCAAACAACAGTCCTTTAGCACATACAGACAGTTCATAATGACTGTGTGCGTGTAGAGGGAGCCAGCCAGTCACCTACAGGACCAGAAGCAGGGGGGGGGGGATATAAAAACACACACACACACACACACACACACACACAAGACAAACAGTTTTCCTTTACTTACTGTACACTGTTGTTGGTAATCTGCCACCCTAACCTAACCTATGCTGCCTCCTGTTATGGTCGACCTTGTAGAGAGAAGCTAGAATCCGTCCGTTCGTCTGAAAGTTGTCAACACGCTAACTTGGTCAAAGAGCCACGAATTTTCACCTTACCTTACCTAACCAAACTCGGTATATAGATTTAACACAACAGTATCTCAGGCGAGTTTGGTAATGGGTATTTTGTGTCGTTACTGCACAGAGTTATGGTCTCTGGGAGTGTGTTATGGGGGGGGGGGAGCCAGATCACCTGTAGCGACCATGGTGTGTGTGCCTGTGTTTGTAAGTCGGCGAAAATTTGTTTGTGTTTCATGGGTAATATTAATTTTTTTTGTGATGTTTTTGTCATTCCCAGTTTGCTTGTTATTATTATTATTATTATTATTATTATTATTATTATTATTATTATTATTATTGGTGGTATTATTATAGTTGTCGTTATTGTTATTGTTGCTGTTATTATTAGTATTAGTATTAGTATATTCATTATTATTATTGTTATTGTTGTTGTTATTCGTAGTTGTAGTATTAGTATATTCATTGTTATTATTGTTATTAATTATCTCGTTTCTCTTGCAGGGATTTGTAAACTCAGGCTATGGAGTCAACGGTATAGCTCATGTAAGTACCAACTACCTAATGACCTTGTTTACTGGGCCCTTAATTTAATGACCTTATCTGTTACTCTCCCAGTTCCTTCGGCATATATATATATGTTGGGCGGGGGTATATATACACTGTATTATTACCCCTGTGTCTGTCTGTGGGGGGAGGGGGTGAATTTTAGCGGTTGGTTTTGTTCTTGGTGTGTGTCTCTGTCTCGTGTTTAATCTCTATTCGACCGCAGAGTAAGGAGAGGAGAGAGAAGGAGAGTGTAAGAGGAAGATAGAAATATAGAGAGAGAAGAGCAGAGGAAGGAGAGAAAGAGAGACAGTGAGGGAGAGTGGAAAAAAAAAACAGGGGAGGGAGAGGGAGGGAGGGAGAGGAGGGGGCAGGGAGTTGTGTTGTGAGGTCCAGCACCTGGGGAACAGGTTGGGTGTTCTTGTACCCTGGCAGGCCAGGGTCAACACCCCAGGGAAGGAGGGAGGGGGGGCGATGTAAGTAGGAGGGGGGGGCGTAGGGTGGGGGAGGGAAGGAGTGGGGTGAGATAGGGGGAGGGGGCCTAGAGAGGGGGTGACAGTAGCTGCTGTTCCCAGGGTCACGTGGGGGAGTGGAGGGGCAGGGGGGGTAAGAGGTGGAGGAGAGGTGGTAAGGGTCGAGATGGAGGAGGGAGGAAAAGGTGGAGAGGGGTGATGGAGAGGCCGGGGGTCGAAGGAAGTGGGAGGAGGGGAGGGAGGGGTGATGGTGGTTGAAGAGGGGATGGTGGAGGAAGAGGAGGGAGGGGGTAGGGAAAAGGAATGAAGGAGAGAGAGGGCCCTACCAGCACACAGGAGGTCCCTTCACCTGTCCACCTCACCTGAAGGCCAGGCCTTGGGCAGGTGAGCCTTGAACCAGGGGTACCGCACACGTATAGTAACTGCAGGAAAGGAGGAAAACTACACCAATAATTAAATCAGGAATAACATAATAACTGGCGATAATTACGACGATGATAATAATTGTAATGATTATTTATACAGAGATCCTGCATAATATAAAAGGATTATTCTGATGACGAAGATGATGATGATGATGATGATGATGATGATGATGATGATGATGATGATGATGACGATGATGATGATGACGAAGATGATGATGATGATGGTGATGATGTTGATGATGATGATGAAATTACGATGGTGATGATGTTGATGATGATGGTAATAGTAGTAATAAATAATAATAATTTGTTAGGAAGTCTCCGTTATGTACAGTAGGTCTTTGAACGTAATGATAGGTAGAACAGTGTGTGTGGGTAGGTGGTGTGGGTGGGATAATGTCTCTGGATGTGGGTGGGTGTATAAGTGGGAGGAGGGATGGTTGGGTGGGGTGGGAAGGAGTGGGAGTGTATGTGGGTGGGATATTGTGTATGGATGAGGTGCAGGGCGTGGGGGGGGTGTTTAGTGACCTGGTAACAAAGGGGGGTGAGTCAGGTCAGGCGAAACCCCATGGGTAACAAGGCCTCTTCCCCCTCCCCTTCCCTCCCCTAATCCCCCCCCCTCTCTCCTACTGATGCCCTCTCTACCCCCTTCACCTTCTCTTCCCTCCCTTCTCCCCTTCTCCCTCCCCCTTCTCCCCCCGTACCTCAAGGGTAGATTAGATTCGGTTAATTTAGCGTAGGTTAAATTAGGTCAAGTTAGATCAAGTTGCGTTAGGTTAGGTCAGGCTTGGTTAAGTTAGATTTGGCTTAGGTTAAATTAGATTAGGTTAGGGTTAGATTAGGTTAAATTTGGCTTAGATTAGATTAGTGCAATAGAGAATTAAACCCAGGGAACTAACTCACGCTGCCGTACACAACACATTGCCAATAAGTGAGAACAAACGCGGCTATATACTGTACACCAGGGAATTAAATATACGGAAGTAGATACGATGGTCCACTACAGCACTCTGAAATAGACCTAGGTTGGGTTAGGTTAGGTTCGGGTAAGTTAGTGTGGGTTATGGTTAGGTTAGGATTAGATTGAGGTTAGGTTAAATTGATGTTGAATTAAGATTGGGTTATATTTGGTTTGGGGTTAGGTTAGGATTAAGTTAGGTTGAGTTAGGTTAGGATTAAGTTAGGTTGAGTTAGGTTAGGTTAAGATTAAGTTAGGTTGAGTTGGGTTAGGTTAGGTGAGGTAAGCTTATTGTTATTTCTTATCGTCTCCAGGTATGTCGTTATCGCCAAATTAATTAGATTAGCTCTCCTGGTTTGTGCTTTAGGTCAATTAATTATCGATTCACTGATTACATAAACTAATCGATTATTTGTAGTTAATCATGAGGTGAAATAAGCTGGGCTGGTGATTCTCCAGGTGTGCCAAGGGACAGGTGGTCAGTCTTATCTCAGGTACTACGGTGTTTGTCATTAAGTTCACCTGTTAATTACCTTATCCGGTGTAAATGATTCGACTCTTGCAGGTGTGTATCTATCTATCTATCTGTCTGTCTGTCTGTCTGTCACTCTCACTGTCAGTATGTGTACATGTGCATATTTATAGACCTTAAGACAGTAAAAACGTGCATGTGTGTCTGTCATTCAGTGGTGATAGATGTGGCACCACTGGGCGGGTCACTACTGGTGTTGACGTGGCACCACTGCTTTCTTGCCTGGCCTTGCCTCGCTACCACACACACACACACACACACACTATCTCGGTGGTGGATAAATTAAGCGATTATCTAAGTGGATTTATTGTTATTCTGTGGATAATAAGGGTGGATTTGTGGATAGTGTGAGGGATTATCTTTAAAGGATAATCTGTTAAATAGATTACTTGTGAGGTGGATGAAATGGATTTCTAGTTTATTGGATTACCTGGGCGGATTTATTTGTTCGATGCAATACATATTTCTTAGATTAACTTGGGATGGATTTTTAACAGTGACGGGTTTAAGGGAGATTTATACCCGCTTGATGGATTAACTAAGAGTAATTTTTCTAGTGTTTTTTTTTGGGGGGGGGGGATTAATGGGCATAGGGACGAATATAAACAGGTGAATTAATGAGTGGGAGGAGGAGAGGATTTATGAAGCGATTACCCATACTTGGATTACCTGGGATGTTGGCGGGGTGTAGGAGTATGGGTGGGTGTTGGAGGAGGGTGTAGAGGTGGTCTGGGGAGGGTGTTGGAGGAGGGTGTAGAGGTGGTCTGGGGGGAGGGAGGAGTAGGAGGTGAGGGGTGTTGGAGGGAAGGGGGTGTAGAGGTGGTCTGGGAGGTGAGGGGGTGTAGGGTGGTCTGGGAGGTGAGAGTGTAGAATTGGTCTTGGGAGGTGAGGGTGTAGAATTGGTCTGGGGGAGGTGGGGGTGAGGTGGTCTGGGGGGAGGTGAGGGGTGTAGAGGTGGTCTGGGGGAGGGTGGGGAGTAAGGATAGAAGACCTGGGGGTAGTAATGGCCGGGGGGGTAGGGTCAGGCCAGGACCTCCCCAGCCTGGCGCGTCATGCAGTCTGCATAACCCTTCAACCTCCAGCACCGTGGAGTGCTTGGCCAGAGTAGCAATTCCCACCTCCGCCCCTATTCCACGCCCGCCAATCCCACCCACCAACCCCCCACCCCATCCCGCCCATCCAACCGCCCACCTGCCCCGCCCGCTGAAGCACACAGAGGCTGGGTTGACCTACCTGAACTAAAACATCCGTGGGGGGGGGCTCCTCTCTACCACCCACATCTCTCCTCTTTTCTAACCTTGCCTCCTACTCTCGACACCTTCCCTCTCTCTCTCTCCCCTCTCCCATATTCTATCCCGCTATTGTTCCTCTCATCTCCTCCTCCTCTCCTATTCCCTCCCTTCCTCCCTCCACCCTCTCCTCTCCCTCCACCCCCTCTTTTCTGGCCACCCACACCCTCACCTCTGTATGAGAGAGAGAGAGAGAGAGAGGGGTATTCGATAGATAAAAAAGAGAGATAGAGTAAACGATAAAAACAGATAAGACAAAACAGGAGATAAGATAGAGAGAGAATGTACGCTATTTTTATCACGATAAGAACACCTGATAACACCTGTCCAATGATCCCCTCACCTGAGAGAGTCAATCTGAAACTAACATCAATACACTAATGATAAACAATAAATAGAAGGACCAGGTGAGCATTGAGATGTCTGCCTGTACACCTGAAAACGTTGGTTAATTACAGGTAAGGTTTTGGGTGTGTGTGTGTGTGTGTGTGTGGGGACGAGTTCTCTCAGCACCCATGTCCGTCTCCCTCCCCCCCTATCTTTATGACCCGTTAAGGGGGGGGGGTGAGGGAAGAGAGTGTAGTAAGGATTCATGGAGAGAGGAAGGGAGGGGGAGAGGAAGGGAGGGAGGGAGAAAGGATACAATAGGGAGACAAAGCGAGGAAGGGAGAGCAGGAAGACAAGAGAGAGAGAGGGTAGAAAAGGGAGGGTAAAAAGGTAGGTATGTATTGAGAGCTCAGGTGAGATATTGACGAAGGGAGAAGTAGGTAGGGGTTCGATAAGGGAGAGAGGGAGGAAGAAACACTGAGGTAGGAATATTGGCCAGTAAGGGAGAATAGGGAGTGTAGGTAGGGCAACAAGGGAGGGAGAGAGATTAGATATGGAAGGAGGGACTGAGGGTAAGGAAGAATAGGGGGAGGGAGAGTAGGGAAGTGAGAATTGGAGTGAGAGTAGGTAGGTAGGGCAGTAAGGGAGAATAGGGAGATAGAGAGAGGGTGACTACTGAAATACCCTGGTGTCCGGTTCTGTCAACACCTCTCCTCCCCCTCCCCCTTCCCCCCTCAAACTTTATTTCGCCCGTGCTGGAGAACGTCTGCGCCCGCTCACACGCTCACACCAAAAACAGAAATCATGAAGAGTCGGGGTTTTGTAGTTGGTCGATTTTCGAATTTTCTACTTTTCTCCCTCTCTCTCCCTCTCTCTCCCTCTCTCTCCCTCTCTCTTTCTCTCTCTCTCAATCAATCCCTGGAACCTAACCTAACCAAAACGGACTTGGGGGGGGGGGATGTTTGTCCTGGTAGAACTTTGGTGTGTGTGTGT